GTGTATTTAGCAGAGATGGTAGATATGATATCTGAATGAGAGGGTGTGAAATTCTGTGATAAAAGAAGAATATGGTTTGCAAGATGATGTTGTGACCAGTATTAACAAAGCTTTAATGATTTGGTAATGTAGAAAGAATGAATGAGGAGAGAGTGCAAAGCAAGTTTATGTTGCAGAAGTGAACAGCAGAGTCGGAAAGGAACGCCCTAGGCGAAAGTTTATCGACCAAATTGGCGATATATTAAAAAGGGCCAAATTAAGAATACCTTCACCAAACGAGCATATATGCGTAGGTATATGGATGTTGAGGAGGAAAGAGAGATGTGCCAAGATCATGCCAAATGCAATTCCGTAGTCTCTGCCTACCCCTCTGGGTGACAGGCGTGAGGAGTGTTTTTGATAAAATATGGTGGTAATATACATATATTGTACGGGGGTACCCCCGCGCCTACCTCACAGTGACTGAGTGAAGACAGCCACAGTCAAGTGTGTGCCTGCTGTACTACCATAGGTCAGAGGTGTCAAAGATAAGATTGGCTACATCTTGAAGCGAGCTTCTATTAGAACATTCTTCAAGCCGCAGAAGAAGATTAATCAGTTCTTACCATCCGTCAAGTGCAATAATCCTCTACAAGATGCAGGAGTGAATGTGGTCTCTCATATAAAAGCCAAACAAAACGATCAATGAAAACCCGCGTAAAAGAGCACATAGCTGACGTGAAGCACCAACGTTTCGGGAAGTCTGCAGTTTATGATCATATCCTAGACGGCCCCCGCCATTACATTAGATTTGATAAACCGCAAATTCTCGCGAAAGAACATCGATTCCTGCCGACGATGATACGTGAGGCTATTGAAATTTAAAAAAAAAACATCCTAATTTCAAAAGAGAGGGAGGCTGGGTACTGCCACCTGCTTGGGATCCTGTAATTCATAAAATTAAAACTAAACCCAAGACCGGACCAAAGTTAATAATTAAAAAGGCTGAAGGTACTCCGGGTTAACTTTGACATCGGGACGTCAATCACCTCAGTCCCCCATGACCGAAACGTCGGAAATTAATAATAATAAGTTAAAAATAAGTTAATTTAATGCGATAGAATCTGTAAAAGTAGTATGTCTTGTTTAGTTATAATTAATTTTTTGGGCTGCGAAATGTTAAATTTTTGGTGTCTGGCAGCCTTGTATTAATTTATTTTACTAAATAGACTGTCTCACTCACTCACTTCGACGTCAAACGCCGTCGTGAGTGGATACTGTATCCTGAATGATAATTTGATGTTCTTATTGGCATTATGAGTCGTGCACTTTTGGATTTTCCAAACTTTTTTTTAAATTGAAGTTTAACATAAAATATTGGAAAATTGGAAGTATAATAGGGTTATTAGTGAAAACTTGTGAGTATTTAATTATTAATTATATTTCACATTATACGTAATTTTTTTTAACGCGCTTAGGGCATGCACAATTTGATTTATCAATAGTTTTTTCCTCATCTTTGTATTGCAGCGGAGAGCCATAAGAACAATTTATAACCTAGGTCAGAAATAAACCCTTACAGAAAATTTTAAAGGAATAAATATATTAAAAATTTAGAGAAATAAATATATTCACTTTGGCCTCTCAATGTTGTGGTTTTTTGGTTTTGTACATACATAAATGTGAAAATTTATGTATGTACAAAACCAAACATAGTTTCATTAAAATAAGTGATGTACATTCTGTAAATACTAGGAACAAGCATAAGTTAGTTATACCAGTAACTCGACTCCAAAGGTCAATAAGAGTCAGTAATTCCTTCTGTGGGCAATGGGCAAATCGCTTTTACAACAAAGTTCCAGAAAATATGCAGACCTTATCTATCAAAAGGCTTAAAATATTTATTAAGCAAAAATTGCTTAGTAAGGGTTATTACAATGAAAAAGAGCACATAATTGACAACCTGTACCCGACCTTTGTATTTGTTATATTACTTAAGTAGAAGTAAAACAATAAAACCTATACAAAACAAATGTAATACGGCTCTGCAAATACTTTACCACGAAATTATAACTCTAAAATAATTTAAATAAAAACTAAGTTCATAAACTAAAACCAACGAACAATATTCTCATCTGAAATTATTATCAACAAACTATTCAATATTTGTCGTCTATTAAATGAAAAGCTTAGACTTAATATATTTTAATGTATTTAATACATATTCATAATGATATTCCGAGGTTAGCCATGGTCACATGCTACTGTTATTACTTTATAAATTAATAAAGAAAAACCGGCTTTGACCGGAAGTTCTCATAATTGTAAAAAGTTATGCATGTTTATGAGCCATGCAATACGTTACAATATCTAAGAGATCGCAATCAAAATTTTAAATGTATTTTACTTTAACGTTTTTTTTTAATTTAAAACAATACAATGATTTCCGAAAGCAAAATGAAATATATCATTCTACGTTAATCGGAACAAAATAAATAATTAAATGGTTAAGATACTCCTGATTAAATATGATAACTCAGTTTCCCCTGTGACGCACGAAACGCACGGAACACATCGAAACGTCAGGAGTTAAAAAAATATGTTAAATTGAACCCGATAAAATCTCACATAAAAGACACTTTTAAATTATCAGTGTGGTGAGTATTTTGCTACAATCTCAAACAGATCAAGTAATAATTTATTAGTATATAAAATAATGTTATGTTCGCGTTTGGATAAGACCAATATCGATTGTCGTCGGTCTTTAATGTTGTATAAAATTTTTCAAAGATCTTACAAGTGCTACATCAGATACTGGTTATAAGCAAAAATGGTTTAGTATTTGTGTTAAAACTTACTTCAAAAAAAAAGACTTGACTAATCCAGCTACTAAACTAAAACTTGATGATATTGTATGGTCGATAGGTGTAAAGAGAAAAGTGATTACTTAAAAATCAAAAGAAATTTACCTTTATGGTCATTCTTCTTAAACGCTAAGCAGTCATAAATTATTTCAATAATGTTGAGTACAACTAAACATAACACTAATACAGCGACACAAATGTCACCAGGTTCCAACTCAAACATTTGATCTTGATTATTACAAATTAAATCTTCGTTAATCCTTGTTTTTAATTTGTATTTTTCCCACAATGAAATATTGAGACATTTTCAACTACCACTTTAAGGTTTTCTGTCATGTTTTGCGCCAAGTACTTTTTGCAGGTATCTGTGATGCAAATACCATGATGGAGTCGCGTATGATTATAATGCGTTTCTATACGTTCAGTATATTCCTGTAAAAATATTATATTCTATTAATATGATTGTACAATAGCAAGAATTAAAATTTGAAAATATTGAACAGTATTCTGCAAGACTGGAATATTAGTTGTGCTATCCGGCCTGCCGTCAATTTAGCATGCAGGAAAAGCAGCACTGTAGCGGTAATTTATGTTTGCTGGCATATTCTTAGACAGATGTAATGTCTGATTGGTTTGAATCATTCAGTGTAAGACAAAATATTACCATTTACTTTAAAAAAATAATATTTTAATTTGTACGAATCGCTACATTGAATGAGATACAGTTATAGCGCGTATAAAAGGGCTTTTAAATAAATTTTATGTGTTTTCATTTTTTTATGATTCGAAATAACTTGTAGTTTTGAAATAATCTGCAATTGAAATTTGCATCATATAACTAAAATTTTGAAAAATCTAACTAAATTCTTTTGATAAGATTTATAAACAACACTGGTGTTTGTTATATGCATTTAAACTTATGAAAATTTTAGAGATTGCCTATCTGCGCAACGAAATCCTTTCTCATACATTACACAATCATCATTTGGTCATTATTTGTGGAAATGACTAACGAATAAATGCCTTTCGGGTGTAAGAGCGAGTTTGGTCAGGCTTACACCGACAAAAACCCCGTGGGGTTCCACTTTTTCAATGGCCTTACTGACATATCTAACAACACTTTCAAACACATCTTCAGCCCCGCCAGCGGTTCCGCCTACTGTCTGATCCACATCTGCACTGCATAATACAACGTACTACAGGCACGTCAGAACTAGGTACTACTCTTGCTCTGCATGTATTTGCGTGAACGCTTGTGTCACTGTAATGACTAAGTCGAACGAAAGAAAGAAAGAAAGATTTATTTGCACAGAATACAGGTGGTACCAGATTTAACAGTGGTGCATAGTTCATGTTATATTCTGCCTTTAATAGGCATGCAAATATTTATAATTATATAAAACAATTAAAATACTATTATGTTACTTACAAAAATGTCAAGTTATGTTATTATTTATCATAAATTATATACAAAATATTATTATTATTATATTTTTTTTCTTTTCTCTTTTTTTCCTCCATGTAGGGTATTATGATGATACGGGCTTTAAGCCAAGTAGTCATCATTTGCTGGTATTATTAATGTATTATCCAGAGCAGTTTCTGGGATTTGTAAAAATTTTCGCACTAAGCGACATGTATTTAAAATAACTGCTTTTTGCATTTTAATATATAAATTTGAGGGTAAATCTAATAACTTAAGGCAGTGATGCAAATATTTTGGTATTAATCCTGTAGCTGAGAGTACAATTGGGACGATGAAAACTTTATTTAATTTCCATATTCTTTTTATTTCTTCGCTCAGTTCGTTATATTTACTAATCTTTTCGGCTATTGTTTTTTGAATATTATGCGTATTTGGTACAGCTATGTCAATTAGAAAGGCTATGTTGTTAAGTTTGTCTTGCAAAACTATATCGGGTCGATTGTAATGGATGGTCTTATTATTTTTTTATTTATTTTATTTTATTTTATTTACACAAAAACAGTAACAGCATCATAACAGTACAAAACCAAGAAGATGCTGTACAAAAACCAAATAACAAGTGATAAATATAACTACAGACATAAAATATATGCTTAATACTATTATAATTAAGAAAAAAAATATAAATAGAGAGAAAAAAAAAAAAAAAAAAAAAATAAAAAAAAAAAAAATTATGAAAAAATCTCACAGACCCTGTGCGCCGCTTCTGTGAACTTTGCCAGGCTGCAGTGAAAAATGTCAGTTTCTTCGGAAATAATATTCAATAACTTTAAAGCCCGTGACATAGGTGCAAACCTGAGCAGATTTGTCCTAGCGTGTGGCACCTTAAAAGTGGGATGTGGGCGACGCCTAACCACCACCTTATCAGGCACAAACAGCTGCAATGCCTCCAGTACCTCAGGATGGTATAGCTGGCCACGCAAGACACTCCACACGTACTTGCAGAGTGCGACGTCACGCCTCACACCAAGCTGGCTGTACCCAACCATGCCGATCACGAACAAGCTCGGGTACATCAGCGGGTAGAAAGGATAGACGCCGTACTCCTTTAAATAAAGGAACCGCGTGAATTTATTTTGAATTTTTTCCACCATGTTGATATACTTATCTTCATGGGGATTCCAAATAATTGCACTCGTTTCCAGCCGGCTACGAACAAGTGCATTGTATAAAACTTTAATAATCGCCGTACTAAGATAATCCCTGCAATTCCTTAGGATAAAACCTAAGTTTCGGAATGCCTTACCGCAGGTATCTTCAATGTGCCTACGAAACGTCAACTCCGCCACGATCTGCACACCTAAGTCATGTACGAAAGAAACGCGCGGCATCACCGTTCCGTCAACCTCGTACCGGTATTGCAGCGGCGCCTGTCTACGCCCGTAACTTATCACCTCACACTTCGACGTGTTAAAATATAACTTGTTAATTGCACTCCACTGCACGACCCTATCTATATCCCGCTGAAGCTGCTCACAATCCGAAACGTCCGCTACCGACAAAAACAGTTTTAAGTCGTCTGCAAATAGGAGACATTTCGAGTCCTTAATGACTTCTGGGAGATCGTTTATCAATAATATGAACTCTAAGGGGCCCAAATTACTCCCCTGGCTCACACCCGAAAACGTGAAGTAAGGTTCAGATTCATACCCCGCGAACTCGACGTACTGCCGGCGTTCACCAAGGTAACTCGCGAAAAATTTTAAAAGATGCGGTGTGAAACCCACCGCCGCAAATTTTTCTAAAAGGATGTCGTTATCCACGGTATCAAAAGCTTTCCGAAAGTCGAAGTAAGCGGCATCAACCTGCCCCCCAGCGTCAATAACTGGCGTCAGGTATGTCATAAATGACAGCAAGTTACTCGCTGTACTTCGACCCGGCCGAAACCCATGCTGAACGTCGGTCAGCTGCGAACTGATCTGCGTATAAATACATTTTTGTAATGCGGATTCAAATACCTTGGCGAACGCAGACAGCACCGCCACAGGTCGGTATCCGCTCACATCTGAATTCGAACCTCCTTTAGGCACCGGTATTACTCTTGTCAATTTCCATTCTTCGGGATAGTAGCCTTCTCGGAGACACAGGTTAAAAACGTGAAGCAGAGGCTTTTCAAAAACAGAGCGACAGTCTTTGACTATGTAAGGTGGTATACCGTCAGGGCCTACAGAGCGCTTAGGCTTGAGGCGTGCGAGAGCGGTGCGGATGTCGCGCACGCTCAGCTGGCCGACGTGCACACGAGCTGCGCCAGCACGCGCGCTCGCCGCACGCTCCGCCGCCTCCGGGTCCAGCGCCGGTCGCGTTTCGCTATACACAGTTTGGAAATAAGACGCGAAACATTGCGCACTCGATGACTCACTTAACTCCAGACCGTTTTTTGTTACTCGAGGTTTGTTACGTTTTGACTGCTTGCATCTTACGTAATCCCAAAAAGATTTCGGATCGTCCTTAAAATTCAGCTGTAATTTCTCCTGGTAGGCTTCATAATTGACTTTTAACTTATGTTTTATCTGAGATCGATACCGAGAAAACGCCTCGTAATCACATTGCGCACCCGTCATTTTATACAGTTTATGATACCTCCACTTTCGCTTTATATCGCGTATTAAATCGGATGAGTACCATTCCGGGTAAACATACCTGGAATGATTCCTATTAAGTTTGGCCCTACGGGCTCTAGGAATTAAACGGTCTATTACCTCATTTACAACTGTATATAGCTCCGATATGGCTACCTCCGGGGTGTCAATTTGATACAAATTACCCCAATCAATTTGTTGAAAGCTATCGTATAAAATATGAAAATTGGCTTTATAGAAATTCCATCTACGTTTAATAAAAGATTTATCAATCTCATCACGAGAATAGAGGCGTTGCGCCTGCGGCTCCCTGGCAGTGCCCATTGTCACGCTGACATACACCGGAGGATGTTGTACGTCAATATCTACTAACGGGTCATTACACAACTTTACCTCCACGTCACGTGCTAAAAACGTTGTAAACACTAAATCTAAAGTACGGTTGTTAATATTACGGACATTATTTACCTGGCAAAATCCACAGGCGGCGTTAAAATATTCCATATAACTGTGCATTTCCACAGGTGCTGAAGGCATATTAAAGTCACCAAGCACTATAACATTATTGTATTTAACACAAACATTTTCTAATATAAGAAATAATTGCATGTATTCTCTAGCTACACTATGCGGTGGGATGTAAACAACGCAACATAGAAACATTAATTTCTTATCACGGTGTACCGTCGCACACACGATTTCAAATAAGGCGGTGTCCACATTGCCGACAGGAACGCATCTCAACTCTAGCGATGACGAAGAAGCTAGAAATACTCCTCCGTGTTTGCGGCCATCAGCTCGATCGCATCGCACTATTTGGAAACCAGGAGGGATAAGTTCACCGTCATGTATGGATCTATGAAGACTTGATTCCGTAATTGCAAATAAGTCGTACGGTGACTCCAAAATATTCAAATAAAAAGTAGATAATTTTGTTCTAAGTCCTCTAACATTCTGGTAGTACACATTAATGTCCTTATAACAGGTTTTCATTACCTGTTGCTGGTTTACGGGTGTTTCGAAACCACACCCATTCATTAAATCTGGTATGTATTGGCCAACTATCTCTGCAGTTCACTTTTTCAAACGTGGATTCTGGAACACCAATCCTGAATGACGAATAGTCTCTCTTGGTTTTTGGAACAATCTTTTCAATTTTGATATCCTCAGAACCACAAATTTTTTTCACGTGTTCCCTTATTGCATCTTCCGAGGTTTCGAGATGGAGTGACCACACGTGTAAAAACTTCTTCTTCTGTATAGCCTGGAACGAACCGATTTGGGCGTTTCCTCCAGTTTGGATTGCCTTAAGATAGGTCTTTTTAGACTTTTTATGGCCACCTACTACTTTCCATTCTTCAGTCGCAGACGTTTCAATTATAGTTGAATCTTCTTTTTCTGTATTTTTTACTTCCAGTGTGGAAACAGCCTTTTTTTCCCGCTGCATTGCTCGACGCGCGCGCTGCGTTATTTTTATCTCTGATAAGGCGACCGTATCTGAGGATATCGGTGTCTTGCTCGCACTTGGGAGTGTCAGTACCTTAGTCGGCACGTCGGTCTCGCTGGTTGACTGCCCAGCCCGCAATAGGTCGATTGTTCTGGCGGGCATTTCTTCGATTACCCTCTTCAGGTCACTTATCGTCGACAACAATTTCTCAATAATGCGCTGCTGATTTTCAATCTTCTTATTCTGTGCATCAATCAGCGTCACTTGCGTTGTGATTTTTGTTGTCAACGCTTCTACATTCTTTGACAAATCAGCGAAAGCAGACTCCATTTTAAAACTTGTCATTTTTACCGAGAAACGGAATAAAAACACGGCGACTAAAGTTCACACGACAGAAGTTGGGCGTTAAAAAATATATTAATATTATTATTTTAATAATAATAATTTTAAAAATAATTATTTTAATAATAATTTAATATTATATATTATTATTATTATTATTATATTACCTTTTTTATTATATACCATTTTATTATTATTATATATTACTATTATTATATTACATTTTATTTAATATTACAAATAATCATATACATTAGTTTTATGTTGCATGAACTCTTGTATCGTATAAAAACACTTATCCACTAGCCATTTTCTTAATTTAATTTTAAAATATTTTAAGGGAAGTTCCCGTAGACTCTTAGACAGTTTATTAAAAACTGATATGCACATATGATATACATTCCGTATATTTAAAGCTGTTCTACAAGATGGAATCATTATTTTAGTTGGATCTCTTGGTCTGTATTTACTAAAATGATCCCACTTGAATTTAAAAAAATCGTTATACTTCCTTAGAAAGAATGATACCTCAAGAACATACATGCAGGTTAATGTCAGTAAATTAAGTTTTTTAAATAAAGGTTTACAGGAGTCAAGTGGACTTGCTCCACAAATAGCTCTTAAACATTTCTTTTGTGCAATGAATGCTTGACCAACATCAGTAGAATTCCCCCATATTATTAACCCATATCTTAGGATTGATTCTACATAGCCTTTATACGCTATACCTGCAGTCTTTTCATCTGATACAGTCCAAAGCTTTCTAAGGGCATAGGAAAATCAGTTTAGTTTGAGACAAGCATCATTTACATGTTGTTTCCAATTACAAAATCTGTCCAAAGTTATACCCAAAAATTTTATGCTGTCAGCTTCTTCTATACTGTCATTTTCTATTTTTATGTTAATGTCATTATCAGGGCGTTTACTTTTATTCGTACAAAATTTTATGAATTTTGTTTTTGACAGATTTACATTTAATTTGTTTGCTTTTAGCCATCTTAATACAGATTGTACCTCTTTACTTATTTTAATTTCGTGAGATGCATCTTGATCTTTATATGGCACTATTATAGATATGTCTTCTGCGAATAGAACACTTTGACAATTTATTGAATCTGGTAAGTCATTAATGTACAGTAAGAATAATAAGAGGCCTAATACGCTCCCTTGTGGAACTCCATGTTTATTGACCCTGGATGGAGATCTGGGTACACTGCATTCATGACTGTCATTTAAAGTAGTGATTTCAACATATTGTTTACGATTGATTAGAAAACTTTTTATCCAGTCTAAATCTACACCTCTAATGCCATATTTTTCGCATTTGGTGAGCATAATCCCATGATCTACAAAATCAAAAGCTTTACTCATATCAAAGAATATGGCTACCACCGGAATTTTCTCATCAATGTATCCAGTTATATTGTTTATAAGAGAGAATGCTGCTAAAGAAGTTGATTTATTGTGTTGAAAAACATTTTGTTCTTTTTTAATAATATTATGTTTATTAAGGAATTTAATTAACCTGTTGTAAAAACCCTTTCAAAATTTTTTGATATAATAGGTACAAGTGTAATAGGACGATAGTTATTAGGTTCATTTCTATCGCCTTTCTTGTACAATGGTTTAATAATAGAGTGTTTTAATTTATCTGGAAATATTCCTTGAATCAAGGAATTTGTGATTACATGGTTATGAATGTGGGCAATGACACGAGCACTTGCTTTAATTATTTCTGTAGATATAGAGTCATACACCACAGCTTTGGTATTATTTAATGATTTAATTATATTTATGATTTCAAGCTCTGAAGTAGGTATGAAGAATATTGATTTATCATTAACATCTATTGATATTTTTTGATATTGTTCGTTTGGCGCATGTAAATTATTTCCATTACTAATATTAATAAAAAAGTCATTAAAAAAAGTTCCTATTTGGGTAGGATTGTGAATAATATTTCCGTCGTTTTGTATTGATTTCACGCTGTTAATCGAGTTAATACTATCATTTTTATCTTTTATTATGTTCCAAGTAGCTTTTCCTTTATTTTTTGCTCGCTTAAGATGTTTTCTGTTAATATTATTTTGACCATATTATGCATTTCTTTAATATATTTCCATAAATATTATGTTTTTCCAATGTATCTTGTTTCTTAAATTTATAATATGAAAACCTTAAGTGTCTTTTAATGGCACTGGCTTTTCTCAGGCCTTTAGTGATCCATGCAGGCGATCGAATGTTTGTAGTTATTTTAGATTTATATTAGGGAAAATATAGCAATGTAAGTTCTTGATGAAAAATACTAAATGATTTATTTACGTCTGATTCCGCGTAGACTTCATACCAAGATAATTGTGATATATAATATAGAAATTTTTCTTCATTTTCATCATTAAAATCTCTTTTTTTAACGTACCAATATTGTGACATTTTTTCACACTTTCCTGGAAATTTTAACACTTGCGCGGTATTGTGATCAGATAGATAGAGCCAGTGTACTGTACCATATGCCTCTTCGTGATTACTTGCTATGAGATCTATACAGCTATTTTGTCATGTTGGCTCATTTATATGTAAAGTTAAATTAAAATTTGAGAGGATATTTTTTAAGGTAATTGTACTTTTATTATTTAATAGTATATTAATGTCTAAATCACCTGTTAATATGAGTCTTTTATTTATAATTTTTAATCTGATAATGAATTAATGTTAGATGTAGGTGTTCTGTATAAACATATTACTACTGTATTTAAACTGGGGATTTCTATACCGCAACATTCAAATATATTATCACAAGAGCATTCTTTACATATTTCTATTGGCTTGCAATCAATTCCGCAATACGTTAGAATGCACGTACAACCACGCTTTTGTGTTTTCCTAGAATAGTAACTGCCCATTGTATATCCCTTAATAGTAATATGTGACTCATCCCCTCTTTTTATAAAAGTTTCACTAAAGCATAAAATCTGTATTGTATAGTTATTTTTGGAAAGTTCAATTAGACATAGTTCAATGGTGTCAATTTGTTGGAGTAGTCTTATTTTTTTTTATCTGCTTTTAATTTTAATTCCCGTGGCTTACTCATAACAAATTCTTATTGTTAACAATAAGAATATTTAAATATTTTAGATGAAGTAGTTGAATTACGTTTAATGATAGGAAAATAATATGGGATGGTCCCTTTTACTCTGCATATATCCGAAGGGGAACTTTTTGGTAAGCTATGTTTAATAATAGAAAGATAATAGGGTTTTACTTTATTTGTACCTAAAGGAATATATTTAGTATTATAGTCTTTGGTATCTATAGTTAGATTGATTAACCTGCATATATGACCCTGTAAGTAGTGGTAGTTATAAGAATGTTTATTTAAATGAGATATATCCAAAAAATGGCAATTATGGTAAGTTTGACATGTAAATTTTAGAATTTTATTTAATTTTTATTCATTTAGGTATGTATTTCTATTAACACTAAGTATTATTACACTACATTTGGTCAACAATTCTAAACTATTCTTTAAGTGAAAATGGATTTGGTTTGGGTCTGCATCATTTTCACCAATACATAATATTAGCCAATCTTTTCCTGATATGCCCAAATTACAGCATGGTTTCAATGACTCATTACACATAGCAAACGGTTTTATAAAGGAATATATTTTGTATTTTTCGTATTTATTTGTATCCCTCGAAGTTGTTAGTTTTTTACAAAGACCCAAGCACTGCTGTTCTCCAATAATGAATATTCTTCGGTTGTTTTGTACATTAATATTTACAAAGTTTTTAGTGCCATGTTGTGGTTGATTGTGGTTAGAGTTATACATTGACATTTCTTGTATGTCAACGCCACATCCTGATGCATTTTGAGTTTCTGGAACTACTTCAGACGCTGATATATTACTTCGTTGTTGTATGCTTATGTTACTGATGTCGCCATCTGTTGGTATTATCTCATCATCTGTTTTTAGTCTAAGATCTCCAATACTCATGCTCAAATTGTTTTCTTGTAGATTTTCTTGTATTTTTTTCGTTATTAGAGAATAAGTGATTTTTTTAACTTGTGGCGAACCCGTATAGATTTGTTTTAACTGCAGAATTTTCCTTTCATGCTCATTAATTTGCTGTTTATGATTGCTGTTTTCCGAGTATAAATTATCTATTTCAGCATGCGCTATTTGTAGTTGCTCCTGTAATTTTAATATTTGCTCTTTGTAGCACTCACAATCCTCGTAATATAACTG